CTACCCCTACCCCTACCACTACCACTACATCTACCCCTACCCCTACCACTACTACTACCCAGTACCCATACTCCTACCCCTACCACTACCCCTACTACTACTCCTACTACTACCCCTACAAGTACCCCTACTATAGTTCGTTTTTTTAAGTTCGACCCTCACTGTAAACATCTTTTTGAACATAGCACGAGAATTGCTAGCTGAATTACTTAGAAAACTGGTTAGCGCACATTGTACTGGAGACATGAATAATATTTTCCAAATAAGATTTTTAAGACCGATGATATACCGTTCTGTTAAACGCCGTGCGATCTATTGATCAGTTCATTTATATTTTCTGACAAGACGTCTATCCCTGTGGGGTTGTATATAAAGGCAAATACGAGCTAGCAGTCTGGAAAATAAGAGCCAGGGAGAAATAATTTTGAGTAAAATTAATCGTCTGTGAAATCAATGTGCGCCAGCCAGTTTTCTCAGTAATTCAGCCAGCGATTCTCGTGCTGTGTTCAAAGAGACGATTACAGTGAGGGTCGAACTTAAGAAAAACGAACTATACTACCCCTACCCCTACTACTACCCCTACCACTACCACTACACCTACCCCTACCACTACTCCTACCACTACCACTACCCCTACCCCTACCCCTACCCCTACCCCTACCACTACCACTACCACTACCACTACCACTACCACTACCTACCACTGGGTCATGTCAGGTCACAGACTAATTGAATCCAATAGGTACTAAAAAACAAGCAGACGTAAAGTGTTCCCAGCCCTGCCCCTATTCGTGCCATTCCATTACCCTTAATCATATTTTTTGGAAATGGCGCTTTGTGACAAATGTGGCGCATTGCGGCAAACGTGGCGCATTTTATCCCGGTGATTGACCATGCATCGTTGCACCAAATTGCACCCATATCGGACCATATTTGACAAAACTGTGCGATTTGCGGCAAAAATGACGCCTTGTGACCAATGTGACGCCTTGCGGCAAACGCGGTGCATTTGTGAATTCCATCACAAACTGTTCCCATTGAACGAAAATCAACACATTCCCTCGTCACTTTTTATTCAAATTAAAAACTTGCCCATCCGCCAATGCGAGGCACCCTCCACCGATCGCCATGCATCTAGCTCACAAAGTTTGTCGACCCCGGCTCTCAAACCGATCAAAATTTCATCGGCGTTCTTCCAGCGCGCCCCACGCGCGAACCGTGCACCCCAGCGAGTCGGAACCTAGAAAAGGCGCTGACCCGCTCTGTCACCTATAAGGTGTGCAAATTTCAGCCCCCTGCGCCGTACCGTCTGCCCTGTAGGCGAGTGAAATTGAACCCACTACACGATGTGCGGACAAACAGACAGACAGATGGATCCTGTTCAAATAGTAAGTTACTGATGATGATGATGATGATGATGATTTGCGAGGCTACAATTAAACTTGGAATGTAGCTTACATGTTTTGTGTTCCCTGCAGCCGCAAGTTTATCTTTTGCTGTCTACCCCTGGATCATTCCGTATTTAAAAATCGTCAGTCAAAGCCATCTGTTGAAATTGGTAAAACCTCACATTAATATAGCGGTGGACAATTCTCTAGCTAGTGTTAAGCCAATCGGCTTATAGGGATGTTTTTTGTGTAGACCGTCAAAAGTAGCGGCTGGCAGACGGATCGAACTTTGGAGGGCTGTCATTTAAAAATTAGGCGATTTAGAGACGAATGACTTTTGGTTGGGGCTTCAGCCACCTTTCTTAATACGTTTCACTGAATAACTCCGAAATTTAGAAAAGAACTCATAATCCCTTTAAAATTGTGAAAACACCAAAATTAGACAGATCATCATCAAAACGCTACATTAAATATCTTTAGTTGAATATTTTAAGCTCATACCTCTCATTTACATCACAATCTGAATGAATGATATCAGTAACTAGCGCCAGACACACGGTATCTAACAATTGAAAATAATCCGCAGATGCTAGCATCAGACACTTTGTTACGGAGCGAGCGAAGCGAACGTAGTCTTTCTTAGATTTAAGTGTCCATCCCACCTTAACCCGCGCCCCGCTGGGCTATTCAGCCATACGCGCCCTGCTGTGGGGGGGGGGGGGGGCAGATTCTGCCCCCCCCCCCATCTGTCTAACTTCCGAACCGATGGTCGTAGAAAGACGCGGAAAACGGCAATCGAAAGCTCTCAACAAGGCGGATCCTTCAGAGCCCAATTTTTTTTTTTGCTTAAGTAGGTCAGAGGTCAGGTCAAGGTCAGGTCAAGGGTACAAAATGCAAGTTTCTACAGTATCGGCCTTGCACCGTAGTTGCCGAAGAATGGACTGAGACTGATTGCCCAAAACGTGTTCTTAGACTACCAAGACAATATTCGTTGTACACAATGTCATTCAAAGGTCAAGGTCAAGGTCAGGTCAGGTCAGGTCAGGTCACCAAAAACAAAATATAGAAAAGGGCATGTGCGACACATGTTTTATGGGTCATTTTACTCATAGAATTTAATAGGCACACTCAATAAGTGATATGGACCACCTTTGGATGAATTTCAGGTCGAGGTCAGGTCAAGGTCAGGTCAAGTGAGGTCAAATTTTGAAGTTGATTGTTAAGGCCTAAAAAGGTGTCTATCTGATGCAGTTTTTCACGGCGAATCGAATGGTGCTATTTTTGTTTCCGGACGAGGTCTAGAACTTCCAAACAAATCATTTTATTTAAAAAAAATGTGTGTCGTGACGTCATAAAATTTTGAATAACTCCCACATGTTTTAACCGATTCTTCTAAAAATTGGTATGTAGGTGCACATGGACTACTTCTCTGACATATATTCCGGTTTTTTCGATACACTCAAAATTTTGGATTTTTTAATTATTTTCCCAAAAAAATCAGTTTTTTTTTTAGAAAAAAAAAATTGGGCCAAAATCCAAAATTTTCAAAAAACCGAGATAGCCATTTGATAGACAATGTAGAATCACGTATAACCTTTTTTGTTATGTCTTGATTTCTTTAAAAAATGAAGATGTTAGCGGCGTTTGAAATTTTGCCGTTTTTTAGGCGAAAATTGCAAACATGACGTCATTAAAACGTCAATTTCTCAAAAAAATTCCGACGGATTTCGCTCAAATTTTCAGAGAACATGTCAAATTGATGTATGATAAGGTACTGAAAGTTTGACGTCGCTGGCGTAACGCGTTTAGAAGTTATTAGTGAAAAACGGGAGGGGGTCAGATTCTGCCCCCCCCCCCCCCAGCGGGTCGCGGGTTAAAGGAAATGGTTCACTTTTAACATGGGGTTTTGAACTGAAATAGCAGTCTTGTAGCTTGCGCTGAGACTAGCACAAATCATAAGCTTTTACGGCCCAACGATCACCCTAAGCAAAAATATTCAATTTCCCGTTCCAAAAAGAGTGTCTAAGGCAGGAATGTGGTGTCTGGTGGTGTCTTAGAAAGGAATGCAGTCACGTCATCGTCAGCCAATCAGCATGCTGCTTACAGCCAATGCAGCATGCGTACTGCGTAGGTTTGAACTACGCAAAGTGATTGGTCAACGCGTAATAAGCTTCCGCGTCAAAACATCATTCTACATAGAATATAGTTCTTCCTATAGTAAAATATGGAAAATAATTGTTTTTACAGAAAGGTTTTATTTTATTTTCTGATCATTTTGAGCATAAAAAATCATAAATCCATAGCAAAATCCTAATTTCAGGAAAGTGAACTATTTCCTTTAACATTGGTTTTCAGTTGAGACAGCCAAAATGGGGTTCCTAGCTTGCACTTACCGGTTTGAGCACTCACAAGATCGAGAAATGCCTCAAACCGAAAATACCTAATTTCAAAGTTGCAACACTTAGATTCAGACTCAGAAGGGCTAATGCATTAGAATGCCCCCTCTGAATGTGTGACGTCAGCGCAGATCTAACGATTTTAAATCTTTTACTAAAACATTTGGTAGCACGCGGTGGTATATGCTACTTTGCGTGCAACAAGTGCCGCACTTTCAAACAAAGTCGCTAGGAACAGCGGAGATCCCAAAAAGTAAACAAAGTTTAAAGTCTTATATCTTGAGAACCGGCGAATATTTTTCGATTAAATTTGGTAGATATTCGTTTCCGCTCTTTATGAACCGAGCGACATCACTTTCATGCCAATTCATGAACTTTTTTGAAGGTGGGAACTGGGAGGGTCCCTTTAACGGAAATTTCTGAGTATGAGCGGCCGGCCGGCCGTGCGGACGCTTTTGCGAGGCTTATATCTCAGCAACCACTTGACCGATTTACATGCGGTAATTTTTGTAGGGTAGCTTCATTCCTTCTACCAAGTAGGTATTGGACAATTCCCGATGCATGTGGTTGGCTCCTTATGCACGTGACACTTGCAAAACGAAGAGGTGTCAGTTTTGTAACAATTGCAATATCTCGGTAACTACTGGGCCGATTGCGCTGAAAGTTGGCATGTAGGTAGGCACCCACTAGGCAGTGCATATCCGTGTGCCACAGTTGGGGTGCTGCTGCACGTGCGCACGTGCAGGGGTCGATTCCAGATCTCGAGAACGGCTGAACCGATTGCGCTGAAATTTGGTACATGGTTAGGGACCGTTTGGCAGGGTGCCGTGCAAAAAGTCAATTGGGACCTATCATGCACGCGCGCACGTGCAGGGTGCCGTTTCCAGATCTCGAGAACGGCTAGGCCGATTGCGCTCAAATTTGGCACATCGCCAGGGACCGGTTAGTAGGGTGCAGTGCACATTTACAAGATAGTTGGAGGTACCCCTCGCAATTTCGCACATACAAGGCCCACCCTCTCGCTCGCTCCGTTGGTCGCCCCAAAAGGCGTTTTACTGGTAACGTACACTGTATTGAGTGTCTCGTATACTCCTCAGTGAGCCTAAACCCAAAGTGTGTGTGTGTGCGTGCGTGCGTGCGTGCGCGCGCGCGGGCGCTTGCGTGTGGAGAGTCCTACAGCGGGCGGGCACTGACGGTCGCCCCTGAACCCCGCGAGATGTGGACGAGTGCGCCGAGGGCCTGGACAACTGCCCGCTGGGAGACGAGTGCATCAACCAGATGGGCAGCTTCAGGTGCCGGCCGCCAGCGCGCTGTCCGCCCGGCTACCGGCCCAGCCTCCTCTACGGCGTCGACTGCGAGGGTAAACCCCGACCCAGAGCAAAGCACTGCCTGCTCGACCGCTGCCGGCCGCTGCACTGGGACGCTGGGACGCCCATTCCACTGGAACGCTGTTTTTGCAAGGACACTCTGTTCAAATGAAATGGATGGCTGTGATGAGCATCGTTATATATACTATGTAATACGAGAAGTAGTAGCCTTTGCTCATATTAATGTTCAAATAATGCACAAAATTGGATATATTAAAATAATACTGATATTTCGCCTTGCGGCATCATCAGAGTACACACATACAACTTTAGGTTTAACAAAATGCAAGAAAGAAAGAGACACGTGCGACTTTACCACGGGAACAAACGCCAGCCGATAGTCAAATCTTGTCCTATATAAGAACATTGGAAGAACCTATAACATACGTTGACTACATTTTATACATATGATAACAAATACATGTAACAGTACGGTAGAGCGAAGAACAAACACACAACAGCAATAGGAGACGATGTGCAGACTGCAGAGGCCAGAAACCTATACCACACACCATGTCGGTCAGACACCAGAGGGCTACCCTAGTAGAGGCCATGTATCTAACTGATTGTTCAGACTGGGACGCCTGTCCCGAATGGCCAGAGCCTCTGCTATCTTTCTGTCTGCTGCATCTTTGCACCGGCGTATGATGGAGACAGACAGCCGTGGCTCTGACACATTGGGGTGACACTGTTCCATATGATCACCGAATGGGGTCTGCCGAGTGCGATTCGCGCCGTCACGGAAATGCTCATCGAATCTATATCTGATACACCGTTTGGTTTCACCGATATAGACTTGCGGTGGTCCTCCCAAGTCAGCACATATGGTGCACGTGATTGTGTACACCACGTTCTTAGTGGTGCACCGACCCGAAGCTGAAGCTGCCCATTGGTGCCGCACGTGCACCAATGGTCTGACGGGTCGGTGCACCACTAAGAACGTGGTGTACACAATCACGTGCACCATATGTGCTGACTTGGGAGGACCACCGCAAGTCTATATCGGTGAAACCAAACGGTGTATCAGATATAGATTCGATGAGCATTTCCGTGACGGCGCGAATCGCACTCGGCAGACCCCATTCGGTGATCATATGGAACAGTGTCACCCCAATGTGTCAGAGCCACGGCTGTCTGTCTCCATCATACGCCGGTGCAAAGATGCAGCAGACAGAAAGATAGCAGAGGCTCTGGCCATTCGGGACAGGCGTCCCAGTCTGAACAATCAGTTAGATACATGGCCTCTACTAGGGTAGCCCTCTGGTGTCTGACCGACATGGTGTGTGGTATAGGTTTCTGGCCTCTGCAGTCTGCACATCGTCTCCTATTGCTGTTGTGTGTTTGTTCTTCGCTCTACCGTACTGTTACATGTATTTGTTATCATATGTATAAAATGTAGTCAACGTATGTTATAGGTTCTTCCAATGTTCTTATATAGGACAAGATTTGACTATCGGCTGGCGTTTGTTCCCGTGGTAAAGTCGCACGTGTCTCTTTCTTTCTTGCATTTTGTTAAACCTAAAGTTGTATGTGTGTACTCTGATGATGCCGCAAGGCGAAATATCAGTATTATTTTAATATATCCAATTTTGTGCATTATTTGAACATTAATATGAGCAAAGGCTACTACTTCTCGTATTACATAGGACACTCTGTTCATTAGAAGGTTGTTTCCATTGGTACGCTGAGTCCGGTGTGTCCGCGGGGCACTGGGACGCTGTTTCCGCTCACTGGGACGCTGTTTCCGCTCACTGGGACGCCGTTTCCGCTCACTGGGACGCCTTTTCCGCTCACTGCGCTGGGACGCTGTGGCGGCTAGGGTACGGGGACTAACGGCTTCCAACGAGCTGGGCTGGCTGCCGCTGCCGCTGCCGCCGGGCCAACCCACCGCCCGCTGAGACCATCTAACAATAACATGCTTGCGCCCCCTCACGCACACAAAACGCTGATAACGCTTACATCAACACAGATAACAAATTCAGCATGAAAAGAGAAATATCACACTAGTTAATCCGGTCACAGAAACCGTTACGCTATTAAAATAGCACTTAAATTGCATTTATTTATTAATAAGGCTCACATTTTGGCATATTTTTTTGAATGCATGCACTAAATTCGCATTGATAATTATCAAAAGCCACACTTCGGAGTCGATCGATCGCTGTGTAGGTATTCGTTTGTAAAAGCTGAGTTTCGGATCATCTTGATCACTTCTCAAAGCTATGGTAGAAACACACATGACAACACGGCACACGAAATTTACGACAAGATTATGCTCTTTTTGTTGACAGGCGTACATGATAACAATTTTTAGGAGCTTCTGTTGCCACATTTTGTTTTAGGCCCATTGCGAAGTCCTGAAGTCCATGCTACTGAAAGCCCGATTTGAGGTGTTTGACCTGACCTTGACCTGACCTGTGACCTCAAAATTCAACTTTAAAGTACTCATCTGAAGCGTCTCGTCGCGTTCTTTCGTTTGCCGCCTCGTGCGTTTCGCTGCGCCTATTGGTTTTCGAGTTATCGGCTGGGGGCGTTTAACGCCCCCCCCCCCCCCAGCAAACGGTGGGTGACGAAATACCCCAGCAACTGCCGGGTTAAAGGGTTGAGGATGCGATCGATTTATTCGTATGCATGCCTGCTATGATCCTCTAAAATGGCTTCATCGTATATCGTTATAGTTTCTGAGATAAAGCTGGAAATGTAAAAAAGCAAAACCTACCGTTTAAACCCGCGAGACCGCTTATAGGTGTTCACAACCGCCATGTGCCCTGCCATGGTTGTGCCGCCTGTTGACGCCCCCGTAACGACGGACAGACATCGACGAGTGCGCCGAGCGTCTGGACAACTGCACTCGCGACCAGGGCCAGCTGTGCCAGAACACCGACGGCGGATTCAACTGTATCGTCCGCTGCGAGCTCGGCTACCGCTTCTCCCCGGCCCGCGGAGGCTGCGCAGGTCTGTGGGAGGCCTCGCTGGTCTGTGGGAGACCTCACTAGTCTGTGGAGGCCTCGCTGGTCTGTGGGAGGCCTTGCTGGTCTGTGGGAGACTTCACTGGTCTGTGGGAGGCCTCGCTGGTCTGTGGGAGGCCTCGCTGGTCTGTGGGAGGCCTCGCTGGTCTGTGGGGAGGCTGAGCAGGCCTGTGGGAGGCCTCGCTGGTCTGTGGGGGAGGCTGAACTGGTCTGTGGGAGGCCTCTCTGGTCTGTGGGGAGGCTGTGCAGGTCTGTGGGAGGCCTCACTGGTCTGTGGGGAGGCTGAGCAGGCCTGCGGGAGGCCTCACTGGTCTGTGGGGACGGGGAGGCTGTGCAGGTCTGTGAGAGGCCTCTCTGGTCTGCGGGGAGGCTGTGCAGGTCTGTGGGAGGCCTCTCTGGTCTGTGGGAGGTCACGCCTCACCGGTCAGTGGGAGGCCGCCCTGGTCTGTGGGAGGTCACGCCTCACTGGTCTGTGGGAGACCTCACTGGTCTGTGGGGAGGCCTCACTGGTATGTGGGGGAGGCTGCGCAGGTCTGTCGGGGAGGTTGTGCGGGTCTGTTTTTGGAATGATGTCATCACACCTTGTTCTTCCCAACAGCCATTAGCCAAATTAAAATAGCATAATCTCAGTTGAAAAGACAATCCAAAGCACGCTTCCTACAACACATGTAAAATCACTTGCATCTGTAATATCCGCCGCCGTCGGCTCCCCCAGTCCCAGGGTCCCAGTGACGGCCCAGTGAAGGTCCAGTGACGGCCCAGTGACGGCCCAGTGACGGCCCAGTGACGGTCCCAGTGACGGTCCCAGTGACGGTCCCAGTGACGGCCCAGTGACGGTCCCAGTGACGGGCCCAGTGACGGCCCAGTGACGGCCCAGTGACGGCCCAGTGACGGCCCAGTGACGGGCCCAGTGAAGGTCCAGTGACGGCCCAGTGACGGTCCCAGTGACGGCCCAGTGGAACAGGAGGGACCACCAGCCTTCCCGACTGAACCGCCGCGCTGCCGTTATTTGCTGCCTTACGCACTCACTGCATTTGTTTTGCCACCTTGCTAGCCACCTTGTGCTCATGAGACCACGACGCGTAGATTTTGAGCTATTATGAAAAAGTTGTTTTTTCGTTACAACTATCTAATGTAAGAGGCGTAAGGACGATGTAATTTAGCCGCCTTTCTTGCATCATTAACTTTTATTTGCACTTCTCTCTGAAGAATAATGCTATATTCACACTCTAGGGCAGGCAATGGCTCGCAATGTTAGGCTATGTCCGCGCACCGACGTTGGTCCGGGCCAACTTCGCACAGACGGGGTTGGATAACGGCTCCCCCATTAATATCTCTAAAATGGAGCATGCTACCAACAGGCGGTATACGGTATTGGATACAAAAGGACAAGGGCTTATGCCTAAACAGACTCTTTCCGCAGTCAGGAAATCGCACGCGAGCAAGGCCGTATAAGTTAGGTAAGATCGTCCAGGCTCGCTAATGTTACAAATCTGCAACACTACGGTGACGTCACCGGGGCATACGCTCCCTGGCTCCATCCGGACCCTGATGCGGCGGCTGATATCGCTATGGTGTGTCAAAAGTGGAAATAGCCGGTGCGCCGTCTGGCAATCCGGCAGCCCGCCGCCATAGGGAAATTCATGCTTTTTGTCGCTTTTTCGCTCCTTATGAGTCACTTGATCTAATTAGAGCTTAACTAGGAACGACGCGGGTCACTTGGACGTATTCGGGAGCCGAATACGGTGTTTTGGAGCCAATACCTGGGAAACCCTACCCGCCCAATGCGAGTATTTAAGAGTCTGCATGCCCAAATTAACGCTGAGCGCGGCCGTTTTCGGTCGGTTTTCCGCGACCTTGTGGCGAAATCGCCTTATTTATTCAACCAGGGTGGGCTAATTCGCTTAACTAAGAATGAGACGTTGAAGAGAATTATTCAAGGAATAGAGTTGTGGAAAAATATTTTTTGTACTGTTAAAACTGTATCCGCCCTCGAACGATAAATATTGTTGACCCATCAGGAACACATCCCCTGGAATGCGTTTGGACTTGGCTGGATCTAATATTAGCGAGTATCTGCTAATGCAGTTTCTTGGCTTACCTACACAGTACGCACACAAGCATACATACTTCCTGCCCTTGGTTATCCCTCACTTGAATGAAAATGTTGCTATAATAACCATTCCAAGCAGTTAACAGGTTTTAGTGCAGTGCCAAGTCGGAACCGTTCAGCGCCGCCAGTCTCCCAGGCGGCGCGTAACGGCCGCCGCCGGCCACGCGCCGCCGCTCTGGCAGGGTGTTTGACTTCATATCTCTGTTGCTAGAAAAGTTGTGGACTGATTTACATGATTCTTGCATGAAAAGATCCGCCATTCAATTCTTAGCAGATAACGAAAATTTGACGTCAATTGCACGATCCACTGCCCATATTGTGGTACTGCCATCTATTGACAAGGCTGGCGAACTAAAGCCGGGCGGCTATTTCCACTTTTGACACACCATGACGCGTAGATTTTGAGCTATTATGAAAAAGTTGTTTTTTCGTTACAACTATCTAATGTAAGAGGCGTAATGACGATGTAATTTAGCCGCCTTTCTTGCATCATTAACTTTTATTTGCACTTCTCTCTGAAGAATAATGCTATATTCACACTCTAGGGCAGGCAATGGCTCGCAATGTTAGGCTATGTCCGCGCACCGACGTTGGTCCGGGCCAACTTCGCACAGACGGGGTTGGATAACGGCTCCCCCATTAATATCTCTAAAATGGAGCATGCTACCAACAGGCGGTATACGGTATTGGATACAAAAGGACAAGGGCTTATGCCTAAACAGACTCTTTCCGCAGTCAGGAAATCGCACGCGAGCAAGGCCGTATAAGTTAGGTAAGATCGTCCGGGCTCGCTAATGTTACAAATCTGCAACACTACGGTGACGTCACCGGGGCATACGCTCCCTGGCTCCATCCGGACCCTGATGCGGCGGCTGATATCGCTGCTAATCGAAAAATTACTTGCGCAATAGCGCTTTTAAATGACTTTAAAAAGGGGGAAATATGATAGCAAAATAATTATGAGAATCCCTTGTCCTGCCTGGGATTGTATGACCCCGCCACCTAGCGGACAACGTCGTAATTAGGGTTGAGTTGGCGATCGCCAGGTGGCTTGTCAGTAAGCTGTCAGCCGCAGACAGGAGAGGGGCCGTCAGGCGCTTAATATTATGTAAACGCCAGATCATGCTCAGGAAAATGCGACACGCTTCAGAACGGTCATTTATCTCGAAAAAGATGCGGTGCCCTGTGGTGATATGGTCCACATGACTCGGGATCCGTAGGCCGTACGCCCTACGGGTCCCGAGTCATCAGGGGCCTTATAAGACCCCTGTGGTCACCGGCAGCTCCCAAGGCCCCTACGGACGCGATACATACTTCGAGAAATCGCTAGACAAAGGACTCAGGGGCGCAGCCAAGGGGAGGGGCACACTGGGCTTTAGCCCCTCCCAAATCTAGCAGGCGCCTTCCACGATCATATTGTGCGCCGATGGCGCCTTTACAGTGTCCAGCACTCTAGTCGCCCTCAACAGCACGCGAGAGCCTATTCAAATGCATGGAAGCACGCTCGCATCAATCCCACGCACCTCCCGCAAGCGAACAGGCGCGGATCCAGGGGGGGGCGACGGGGGCGGCCGCCCCCCCCCCCCCGACATCCGAAAAAGGCGCCCATAGCTCGCAGCAGAGAGGGCGCCCCGAGCAAAACAGAGGCGACACAGCAAAGGTTGAGCAGAAATAGGGCGCCTCCAGCAGAAGTTGGGCTCACCAAGCAGGAGAGCGACGCCCAATTGCCCATTCCCAGCAGATCAGAGTCGCCCCAGAAGCAGCTGGGCGCCCCCAGCAGAAGATTATTACAAGTATAAAAACATGCCTTCTGTTCAAGAGGGGCACTCCTGGCAGGAGAGGTGTCCCCCTGAAGAGGAGCGACGCCCCAGCAAAAGTAGAGAGGCGCCCCCATTCCAAGAAGAAGAAGGGCGCCCTAACCGCAGATAGGCGCCCCAACAAAGAAAAAGAGAAGCCCCATAATAAAAAATGGGTGCCACTGGCAGAAAAGGGGCGCCCCCGGCAGCGGAGGGGGCCCAGCAGGAGAAAGGAGCCTCCAGCAGGAGATGGGCGCCCCAGCGAAGGGGGGCGCCCCAGCAGAAGAGAGGAGCCCCCTGCAGGAGAGGGGCGCCCCAGCAGAAGAGAGGCGCCACAGCAAAAGTTGATCAGAGATGGGGAGCCTTCAGCAGAGGTTGGGCTCGCCAAGCAGGATAGGGGCGCCCCATTGACAATATCCGGCAGAAGACAGACGCCCCAGCAGCAGATGGGCGCCCCCGGTAGAAGAGAGGCGCCTCATTACAAGAAGAAAAGGAGTATATTCTGCACAAGAGGGGCGCCCCTGAGGCAGCGGAAGGGCAACCCCAGCAGAGGGGCTGTGCCCCAGTAAAAGGAGAGTGGTGCCCCGCTCCGAGCAGAAGAGGGCCGCCCAAGCAAAAAGAGGAGCCCCATAAGAAGAAAAGGGATGCCTCTGGCAGGAGAGAGACGTCCCCCGCAGTGGAAGGGCGCCCCCAGAAGAGGCGTCTCTAGCAAAAGATAAGTGCCCCTTCAGGAGAGGGGCACCCCAGCAAAAGTTGGGCAGAAATGTGGCGCCCCCAGCAGAATTTGGGGTCGCCGAACAGGAAAGGGCCGCCCCATTCACAATAGAAAAAGGGACTCCCCGGCAGCAAAGGCGTGCCCTAACAGAAAAGGTGCACTCCCAGTAGAAGCGGGACGCATCAAGAAGAAGAGGGGCACTTCTAGCAAAAATATGGGCGTCCCAGATAAGTGGGCCGCCTACAGCAAATTGGTCGTTCTTAGAAGAAATGAGGCGACTTCAGCAAAGTGAGCTTCCCATGACGGATTGGGCGATCCAAGCAGAGGTTGGGCGCAAATATCTTTAAAACGGCGGTGCTGCG